CTTCTGCATACATTACACGACCAACTGATTTGACCGTTCCTCTCTCTTCCCCTTATCTCCTCCCATCTCTTGATATCATCTTTCAATGACTTCTCATTTGTAAAATAAGACGTCCTGAACCTTTGTAATGTTTTTCCAGTCTTTATTTTTCAAAAATGGAAAGTGAAGGGACTGAAGTCATGAGGAAACACAAGGAAACATCTGTACGTCTTCTTATATCAATCCCTCAATATTTCAGACCCTAACAAGGGTTCTGAATTCTTTTGTTATGCTTACATAATCATTAGGTGGAGGAGAATGAAATGGTGGTGAACGATGGAGCTTTTGTAGGAATTGCTGGGGAAGAAACTGAGACAAATGCTGTTGGGTCTGAGCAGATGGATCTTGACATCACTCACATTCTTGAAAAGATTGAGCGCTTTACTCAGCTGGTAGATGGGCTAAATGACGTACCTTTTGTGATTTGCCCTTTGGGACAGTACCATGCTTAACTCCTGTTAATATCTTCTTTATAGACAATGATTACTGCTGAATGCTGATGTAAATTTTTTGCTAGTTCTAATGCTTTAAATTACAATATCATTAAGGTATCTGAGCTGCTGGAATCAGGGAAGTCACTCCTGAAAGAATTGAGTATTGAATTTGAAGAACGGATGATTTTGTAAGTTATGAAATAAAAAGCTAGGATTGCAGTTATTAGTGATGTGGTTTAGTTACAATGCTGAATAGTTTCTGTCCGCAGAATACATAAGGAACAGATGGAAAAATGGCAGGATGATATCAAGGAATTGCGCTTGCTTGATGCCTCAAATGAGGAGTTCAATGCTCTTGTGCACAATGCTAGATTTCTACTTCAGCACGTTCATAGCAACACCTGAAGGTAAATCTTGATGTATGACCTATTTTAAGATGATGGGGATCAAGGGTGAACTGATTTTAAGCAACAAACTTATGGCTTGAAGCACTTCTATCCATATATATACTAGCGACACCTGAAGGTAAATCTTGATGCATGGCCTATGTTCAGATGATGGGGATCAACGATGAACTGTTTTAAGCAACAAACTTATGGCATGAAGCACTTCTATCCATCCTTATATACTATTTAAATGTAGTATCCTAGATGAGCTCCAAATTTTAAATCCTAATTTTCTGAATTCTTGATTTTTTTAAATGCATTTTATTTGACACAGGATAGTCTCTTACTCAGTTTTTTTCAATTCAACTTCCTCACAAACCTTCTCTTAGCAAACTCCCAACCACATTCTTAAAACTCCTCACTGCCCATGCCTCTATCTTCCCCACCTTTTCTCCTCCTTCACCTCTCTCTCACACTCTCCTCTTTTTCCCTCCCTCACCTTCTCCTTTTCCCATTTCTCCCCCTCCTTCCGTGGCTGTCATTGTTTTTGTGTTTTTTGTGAGGATATCTATCATCACACACCCGCTGCATAGAGGTAAAGGGTAGACCTCAAAGGTTTCACTTATTTAGTAGGCCACCAATCTTACGTTGCTGTCATTTGTTTTGGTTATGGATATCACTTCTTTAATTAGTGGTGTTATCTCAACAAAACAACGTCATGTGATAGAGATGTACTCTAAAATTAGAATTCGAGTTGGTATACAATTTAATATAATTATTATAAGTAATCCTTGATTTTCTATGCCCAATTTATAATGACGTGGCAATAAGGTGTATTTCCAAGAATTGATCTGATGGTATATAATACAAATAAATTATTTCAATTTTTTTATTATCATTCTCTGAGTTACTTTTTAATAATATTTTTTTACCACATTTGATGGTCTAACCATCAAAGGAATCTAATTCATGAAATATAACTTGCAGTTCATGCAGTTTTATCCATTGCACACTATTTATGTTGTGTCTTGCCCATGCAGATTAGCATGGCTTATTGTATTTCAGTTGTCTTTTTAATGTCATCATATATTTGTTTTTGCCTCATGTTTCTCTTTATAGCACCATATTAAATAAAAGAAAAGAAAATCATACATGTATTTTTAAAAGATGTGGCGGTCTGGTCTACCACATAATACAGTATCCTTCTATTCCTTAGCGTCTCACCAGTCTGGCCCCGATCATGCTTAGAATTAAAGATTAGACTTAGCTCAGAGATATAGGCAAACAAAGACTAAATCCATTGCCTTGGAAAACTTAATTTATTAGTGATGTACGTGAGATCTTCATTTTAAGAAGGGAATCAGGATAAACATTACATGATTTAATTATCTCGTCCATTATGCTAACATCATGAAGTCAACCACTCTTATCATAAGGGTGGAGTTTTAATCAGGACTCCTCATGATGACACCTCCATCAAAGTTGGCTTTGGGATGACTATATTCTTTTATAAATTGTAAGTTTTACTTACAAATGGGAGGTATTACATACATCTCAATATATTACACTTTTGAGTAATAAAATTATCAGGTTACTGTAGTTATTTCCGGTGGAGTAAGTCACGGAATCTATCCAATTTTTGTGTTTGTATGTGTTGAGTTGTTATTATTTTATCCGTTGATTGATTTTGCATAAACATTTTGTATATCTTCAACATTGTCATAAACTTAGTTTTAGACCCTGTATATGTTAACGAATAAATAGTTTTGCCTTTGTTAGCAAGAAATGACAGAAGTGTTCAATCTTAATGTAGTAGTCCGACCCGTGTAAAGTAAATTTTTTTGTTTTTCACATTGTATGTCAATACACTTGGCAAATTAAACTATAAAAATAGTGCAAATTACATTGACATTTCTATACATTGACCTAATTATAGCAACACACCCTCAATGATTTAAAATAACACCAACCTCCCTCACACTTCATATATCAGTTTCACATAGCACTCCTGACTTTAGTCCCGTAGATACAATCTTAAAAGTGATTACGTTAGTAAATTTTATCCGTTGAATACACAAATTGCCCTTGAACAAAGTTTAGGTTACGTTATTCCAAAACAAAACAAAACAAACTTTGTTCTTCACATGGGGTAAACTCCTACGACTATGTGAGCCGCATATCAAAGTCCTAACCCGTTGTAGATTCTAAATCATTGCAAAAGAAACCAAGCAATAGCTGAAAAAAAATGTTAGGCATCATAATTAACATATTTTTTCGTGTCCACATTCCCATGGCAACCCATAATGCATAACATAAACATACTTTGTGATGATTTGTATAAAAATTAATTATTAATTTATTAATAGTGTTAATTATTATTTTATATCATCAAGGATTATTTTTAAAATTTTCAAATAATTAAATAGATTTCAAATATGAATTATTTATGTGAAAATGAGTTAAATGACTATTTGGATATGTTGAACATAATATTATCTCTTAGATCTTGATTAATTGGAAAATTGCAATGGTTCTTGATAAATTTTGATAATTTCATTTCAAAGTATAAAAATTAAATCTTATGTATTACATTGGTTTAAGTAATTGTGCTGTGAAATCATAATCATTAAGAAATAAATTGAAAATATTCTATGAAAATAATTTTATTGAGACTTAAAAACTATTATATAAAGAATATACCCAATATATCTAGATATGTTATACTATTGATTATTATTATTACTTGAATTAACTATACCATTGATAGATATTAAAAAATATTCCAAGCAAAAAAAAAATTCAAAAATATTTAAAACACCCTGGCTGTGTGTGTGTGTTTGTTTTTGTTGGGTGAGAATATAATGGAGAGATGGAAAGTTGCTATGGGAGAAGATATGAAGATGGTGGAGAAAGACAGACAATGGAGCATCCGCTATAGACGTGACTGATTGACTAAGTTTTTTTTTAATCAAAAACGATAAGCGAAAAAATTAGTTTTATGGATGATTGTTTAAACATTTATATAATAAAATATAATATAATTTAAATCTCAAACGATAAATAAAATAATTTTTTTTTGTTTAGATTGTCTGACAGTTAATATTAACTCCTTAAATTTAATAGGAATAATAAACTCTCTAAATATGTGTTTAAAGTGACTTTTCAAAAATGCTTCTAATAAACACTTTAAAAAAAAAATGTTTGGATAACCCTACCACCACCACCACTCTCACTCCCCCACCACCACCACTCCCATTGTCCCACCATTATCACCCTCACCACTATCATCGTTGTCGACATCCTATCACCACCATTTCACCCTAACTTCTACCACCATCACCATTATTGTTATCGCCTCCACCCAACTTTTACCATTATCAACACTACTATCACAATCGCCACCCTACCACCGCAAATGTCATAACCAACATTGTTGTCGACATCACCGCCCCACCACCCCCATCACCATCTCAGTCCCAACCATTCCCATCACCATTGCCACCGCCATTTCCACTACCAATCACTCACCATCATTGTCATCACCTACTATCAATTGTTACTACCGTTGTCCATCACCACCATCCCACCACTATCATTATTGTCGTTCATGATTGTTACTATCATAACGGTTGTCGTCACTCACTATAACCATCACTGTCTTTTATTATCACCACTGTTGCCCACCATCACTATCATCGTTTATCATCACTACGATAAGTGCTTAAATTCTTTTCTTTATTTCCTATCTTTGTAATTTAATTTTAAATGTGAATACAAATATATTTATTGTTGATCATTTTTATTATTCTTTGTCTTTAAGAATGAGAAATAATTAGTATTTTACTATTTTTTATTTTTTAAAATTATTTTTAAAATTATATAATTAAATAAATTTTATAATATAAAAAAAATTAAAAAATACTTTCTTAAAACACTACTCAAAACTTGTTTTCAAAAATTATTTTTAGAGATTCAAACCAAACAGATTCCAAACTCCCCTTTTCTCCCTACTACAAAACCCTGGTTTATTCTCAACTGAGCAAGTCGCATATCCAATCTTGCTGAGGTGATTCTTCGACCAGCCTTATCTTCGTATCCAAAACCTCCATACTCATCCACCACTGGGCAAACATATGAAGGAATGAATTCTCTCTGCAATGCAACCAAACCCCTCCCTCTCAAGCACCCTCCTCTTTTCTCTCCATACCCACCTCACAAAACTAAACTCTGTACACCCAACTGTCCAATCAAAAACCGATTTTCCTTATCCTTCACACTCAAATCCTCGCCATCGAATTCTAAGTCACGCCAATGCCAAATCAAAGCCTGCTTCTCCGATTATGCAGCATCGGCTGCGACGTCCGAAATCGACATGGTAAGAACTAAAGAGGGTATTTATACAGCCAAGCCCAAGAAGGTGGTAGTTCTATGGGACCTAGACAACAAGCCTCCACGAGGTCCACCATACCAGGCTGCCATGGCGCTGAAACAGGTCGCTCGACGCTTCGGCGATGTCGTCGACATCTCCGCCTACGCCAACCGCCACGCCTTCATCCACCTACCCAATTGGGTCGTCGAAGAACGCCGTGAACGACGCAATCTCGATATCCTCGAACGCAAAGGCTTATCAACGCCTTCGCAACCCTACATATGCTCGGTCTGTGGCCGAAAGTGTAAGACCAATTTGGATTTAAAGAAGCATTTCAAGCAATTGCATGAGAGAGAAAGGCAGAAGAAGCTGAACCGAATGAGATCTTTGAAGGGTAAGAAACGGCAACGTTTCAAGGAGAGGTACGTCGATGGAAATGAGAAGTATGTGGAGGCGGCGAAGACTTTGATTACTCCGAAAGTTGGGTACGGATTGGCTTCGGAGCTGAGGCGAGCTGGGGTTTTCGTGAAGACTGTTGAGGATAAACCACAAGCAGCGGATTGGGCATTGAAAAGACAAATGCAGCATTCTATGAGTAGAGGGATTGATTGGTTGTTTTTGGTTTCGGATGATTCAGATTTTTCTGAGATGCTAAGGAAGGCAAGGGAGTCAAATTTGGGGACGGTGGTGGTTGGGGATTGGGATAGGGCGTTGGGGAGGCACGCTGATTTGTGGGTGCCTTGGATTGAAGTTGAGAATGGGGAGGTTAATGAGAAGGATTTAGTGCCTAAGAGTAGGAGAAGAAGTGAGTTTGTGCAAGGGAATGGTGGGTCTTGTTCAGTTACTCACTATGATGGGGGAACTAGGAATGAAGGGAATTTAGATAGTCTAGTGGAAGAACTTGTTGGGATTAGGACTGATTTTCGTGAGTTGAGGATTTCAGCATTTTCCGAGGATGAAGAGGATTGGCCAAGGGAGCAAATGAGTCCAGAGGGCCAATTTGTAGATGATGATGATGATGAAGAAGATCTCTTTTTAGATAGTGAGGATGAGGAAACAGAAGAAGATGAAGTGTATTTTTGAAATTGCAAAGATTATGGCTTTACATAGATGAAGTGGAGTTTTCTGGGTTCACTCCGTTCTGGTGCATAAAAGAGAGGGTTTGCATGATCTAGAGGGTTATGCTTGGAGCATTAGATATGAAGAAACAAGTGAAGAAGTGGGCATTTTGGTGGCACTTTTAGGGAATGGTGTTCGACTTTTCACCTAGTTTACAGCTTTGTTAGCTTAGTTCTTTCTGGGAGTGCTTGGGAATGTCTCTGACTCCATTTATGTGATGGCTACGAACCTTTGAAGATTAAATTTTATTTGTCATCATCAACAATGGCCTCCCTCCAAAATACATCTCACTGTGAAGGTCGATTTGGCTTCAGTATGCTCTTCCATCTACGTAATTAGTAGATATATTACATACATCATTTAGATGCAATCATGTGAATTACTATGATATGCAAAATGCTAAGATTTGCCTCTCTGTTAGGTTTTTGTTCTCCTAAAGTGCATATTGTGCATCTTTGATTGTACAGTGGAATTTTAACTGTTACCCAAATGTGCTGTTTGGCTATTTTAAGTGGAATTTTTAAGAACAGCAGATTTTTGTGGAGGAAGTCAATAACTTATGGGTGTTCTAATTGCTCTCATGGATTGAAATTTCTATATTCTTTTTAGTCTTTTACCCTTTTTCTTCGTTTCAATGGTGGTTTGTTGAAGTACTTTCAACACGAACTTGCTCTGAATGAGTGTATGTGTTCCTTCAATAAATCATATTGTTTCGCTGCTCTTCTTGCTATGGTGATATTTATAGTCACTTTCATTGTAAATTTGTTGAAATTTTTTGTTCTTTTTGCCATTAATATTTCATATTTTGTGATAATCCCCCAATAATTCGGACACAGGCTTGGTTGAGTTGAGTATTTTATAGTTTGTGAGAAGATGACCCTAATTTATATTTATAAGGTTTTGTGGAAATGGATCATGAAACATTAATGAAATTGCTCATGTTAGAATAGGAGTTACTTTACTATAAGATAAACATACACAAAAATATGACCATAGTCTTCCACTGGAATATTATTAGTTTGAACTTTAAAAATTCCCATAGACTCTCACCATAGTGAAGAAACAGGTAGGATGGCCTCAAACAAACAAAAATTGGTGACGGTCTTGCTGATGCAGGAGCTGACAGTAGATAGCATTGGCTGGCAAAAAAAAATTCAGTAGCCAAGGTGAAGTTGTTTGATTAAGGATCTGTTAAACAGAGTTTGAAACCTTGAAGTAAGAGACAAAATAATGTTTTTAATTGACAGAAATATAGGATAGGTTATTTATCGAAGGGTTGAAAATTAGTGTGTTAAAAGTTAAAACCTACATAAACTCTATGCTTTCATGTTTAAACAAAACCTTGTACAATCTTGGATTTTATGTCATTGGCTACATTAGAAGTCCTAACTTGGCATCATATTAAAATGGCATGCATACTGATAAGTATCTGATGGGTAGGGCAGCTTGCTTAGCAAAGGTGGTGTCACCAAATTGCTCTGCAAATTGTAAGGAATGGTGAATGTGAAGATTAGGATGAAGTTGCGCTAACATGTCCATTTTCTGGTGATAGCTGATGTTTGGGTCAGCTTTTGGCTTGATAAATTGTGTAGGATGCCATTTGAAGAAGTTTCTTGCAATTATTGCAATAGAATTGGATATGGGTGGTTCAATGGTGTAATATCTTGGACATACTTTTGATTGATTGTTTGAGATCTTAGATTCCTGTGGTTAGTTCATGATCAGGTTGACACAGCATATAGCTTTCGGAGATGACGTTTGGAATGAATAACTTTATAAATCAGGAATGCTTGAGGTGAAATCCTATTTTAGGGTGTACACGTATGCTGTGTAGTTATCTCCAAGGTGGCTTTTTGGTGTGCTCAGCAGCCCATTGGAAAATTCTCACGCAGTCATGCTTGATATACATATGTCCCGCCTGAATGGCACCGATTTGATAAGAAATCAGATGAATTAGTAACATCTGATTCATTCTAAAGCTGCAGGAGGGACCTGGTTTCTGTTGTCTCTGTTCCATAATTTACTAGGGTTCTCTAAAGACTAGTGGCTGTCTGATGCCGGGATGGAGAGGTGGTGGCTGTAGGCTGAACAAGGAGTTCTTGGATCGCGGCATCTTTGGGTCTAAACGAGGCATTGTATATGAATGGATTAGTGGAGCTTTGTTGAAGGTGGTCTGGCCCCCTGCGGGGGGAAGCAAGGGTGAACCCTGAGGTTTTCTTTTTTGTTTCTTTGTTTTTATCTTGGGGATTTTGTTTGGAGAGTCTGGATTTTTTTGTTCCATTGCATGGGGCTATGGTTCTTGCATTGGATACGTGGTGTGCATGGGATTGATGCTCTGGTGACATCCACAGACTCGTACTGAAAATACAGAGGACAACCCCGGTAGGAAAAGAAAATGATCTACCATCTGATTATTGCATCTGAGGCTTCATAGACCGTGAAAAACATTTTAATCTCCAAAGGATGTGGTGGTATGCTTGTTTATATCGGAGGATGTGCTAGTTTCACCAGCTAGCTGAGGATTGCCCTTGGCATTGCATTCCAGCTCTGCCTTACTAAAGATTTCTATCTCCTTTTGATGGTCTTTACACAATTTGTCAGCACTCGTGGTTTAGGATTTGACATGGTTTTTGGTTTTTGCTAGCATGCCAGCCTGCTTAACTCCCGCATCATGCTTGGTAGTCAGTTGAAGCACTGCCACAATGCAATTACATCACCTAATCTAGTGCTTGTTCCTGTGGAAGACAATTTGGCTTATTCCAAGACTAATGACTGTTGCGCATCTCTTTTCATTGTTCTGCTAGTTTCTAAATGTCAATTCCATCGCTGAATAGGATCAAAGTTTGCTATCCCAATTATTCATTTTAGGGTTAATTACAAAATGCCCTCTTGAACTTTGAGTCTTCTTTCAATTAAGGTCTTCTGGTTTAAAATTAAACAATTTGCCCCTCATACTTTGAACATTGTCTCAATTAACCCATCATTGTTAATTCTTATCGTCAAAAGTGAGGGAGATGTTAAAAAGATAGATATTAAAAAATAAATATACCCTCTTTTCCCTAAACAAATAACCCATCGGTCCAAAAAAAAAAAAGAAAAAAAAATATCCCCAACCATGCCAACAGATCTATTGAATCTCCCATAGTCCCTTACCAGCAACAATTCTTACCATCAAAGAACAACAACCACCATGAGGAGTATTTACATTGGTGGTGTATTTTCGGTGAAATTTTTTAGTGGTTTGTGGCTGGTGTGGACTGCAGTGGCTGCGATGATTGGTGGGTGCTATGGTTAGTGGTTGGGTGATTGTGGCTGAGTGGTGGCTGCAGTGGTTTGTAGCTGGTTGATTGTGGCTGGGTGTTGGCTGCGGTGGTTTGTAGCCGGTTGATTGTGGCTGGGTGGTGCCTGCGGTGGTTTGTAGCTGGTCGATTGTGTCTAGGTGGTGGGTTTTGTGGTTGGTGGCAGCGATGCTTTGTGGTTGGGTGGTGACGTTGGAGCTTTTGACTCAATTGGGCAAAAAGAAATGAAAAAAAAATGGAGATCAATAAAGGCCAAGGGTAGAAAAATAATTTTAAAATTTTCTGTCTAATTCAGCAGTCAACTTGCTAATTTTGAAACTTGAAAGGGGTTAAATTGTTTAATTTTAAATCAAAGGGACTTGATTGAAACAAGATCCAAAGTTCAAAGGGGTATTTTGTAATTAACCATTCATTTTATTTATAACTGCTCTGATTCATTTGTTCCTCCACTGAAGCCCAATTCTGTATTATCTACAGTTTCACTTTAGAAGCTACCCAAAATTGTATTCATCTGTATAAAATCGACAATCCATTATACATGCCTTTTTTCCATCCCCTCTACATCAGTTTGTTCAAATCACATTATATTTTGGCAAAATGGATTACTATTGCTACTGAATGGAGTACTTTATAATATTTTTTTTTTTGGGTAAATAGAGCATCTATCAATACTCTTGTGATGTTGTTGTGCTTGATATTTCTGAGACGTGGATAGTCTGCCTTCTTTCAACAAGTTGCCTATATAGAATGATGAAGCTGTTGTTTTCATATGACTGATGACTTCCTTGTCCAGAGTATCAAATATCTATGCTGCAAGTATTATGGTAATGATATTTTCCTGATCTAGTTTTGCCTGATAGTATAGGATTAGAATCGAAAGGTCTTATTCAGCTTCGTTTAGGTGATCAATATGACACTGTAATGTGGTTGCTTTTTCATATTTTTTCCATTTGTGTTACCCTTTTTCATGGCTTATCATGCGAGTATTACATTAGGATTTAGGTTAATGCTTGCTTAGGGCGTAAAGCTGCATCTTCTCAACCAACTAGATAGGGGTAAATTCTATTTTGCCCTCGAAAGATATAAAAATTCTTAGTGTGTCCCCCGAATGATTAATTTTTTCATATTATCCCTTAAAAAAATTAAAACGTTGGTCGTTCGTTTGTTTTGTGATTCTTGATTGGTTGATTTGACACAAAACAGATGAACGACTAAATAGAAATAAGATAGTAGGTTACATTACAATATTTTTATTTTTTTTGCAGAACAATGTAAAAAAATTAATTGTTCAAAGGGTAAATTGAGATTTTCCAAAAAAAAAAGTCTTACATAAGATACTTGTAGAGTCTGTTTAATTGCACCACACTACTGTGATGTTTAATGTGTTCTCACCCTTGTAAGGGCAAGATTTGTGTTGTCACCTTTTGTTGATTTGGAACCTTTTTATGTTATTTTGTCTTTTGTCTTGGTGGTTCCAACAGAGAAAATTCCATGGAAGAAGAAGAGTTGTTTTCTTGAGGCCCATTATTGTTCAGTCTGGTCAAACAAGTAAACGATCAAAATCATTTGAGAATATCTATTTTTTGGCAGTGTCCCATTTTCCGTTCATATTCTTTTGGCGTTTTGACCCAAGTTTGTTTCAGTACATGCTCATCAACCTCAATTAACTGCTAACCAACTGTGCCGTTTCCTAAATTCGTTCGTTCGGCTCACTGATTTTTCTAAAAAAATTGACCCATTTTGCGGTTTATTGGCTGGACTGGTTTAGGGCTTGGTTTGCCGGGTTGACCCATTAGTCTAATTTTAATAAGTGCTTTTACTATAAATTATCACCATTAAATTTGATAGCGTAAAATAAAAGTATGAAGTGTTATAGATAGATCCAAATGTATGTGTGTGTGTGTGTGATGGTTTGATTGGTTATAGAAAATTATTCTCTACATAGGATATATCCTTCTATTTGAAATTGTGTGTTCTTCTCGATCAGTTAAAATCATGACAAAAATATTTTGCCAGTAAGAGATATTTTGACACTATTCCAAGTGTCCTTCTAGAAGCAATGAGGTGTCACACCCTAGAGGTGATATTTTTGTGCCCAAGGTTGGGTTAGCTTGATGGACTTGGTTTTTCCCTCACATCTTTGAGTTTTCGTGATTATTAACCGAACTTGTGAGATAATTGACTAGTGGCCTGAGAGATATTTTCTCCCAAAGAGTAGTTTAGGTGAGAAGATTAACTTAGATGAGCTTGACACTGGATTTTGTCAAGCTCCAATTTAATTAAGCAAGGGACCCATGTTATTGACTGAACCTGTCAACTCTAAACTTTATGTCCAAATTTGTAAAAATCAAATATGAAAGACAGTTTAATTCTAATCCATAGTATTATTAAAATTAAAATTTATGTAATAAAATAGTTTATAATTCAAATTTTAAAAATAAACAAAATAACGTCGTCACTATTGTTGTCGTTGTTGTCACCACTATCACTATCGCCGCTGTCGCTGCCGTGGTTATTATAACTCACCACAACTATCATTGTTTTCTACCACCATTGTCTTTCGCTCTTATTACAATTGGTACTTAAATTCATTTATTTATTCTTTATATTTGTAATTTAATTTTAGATATGAATACAAATATGTGTTATTGTTTATTATTTTGTACTTTGAGGCACAAATAATAACTAAAAAATTAATATTAGATAATTATTATTTAGTATAATATTAAAAAAATTCGATACATCTGTTAGGATAAATGTTCAGTATATAGTAACACGAGGTTATTAATGTTACCGTGAAAAGGGTGACGAACAAGCCCGCCAGAGAGACAAGAGGCAAAAGCCATTATTGCCACTGTTGCAGCATTGATGGTAAAGTCGGCAGAAGCCCATATATCCAATCATTCCGTTCACTTGCCCGCTAAACGCAAGTGGCGCAAAAGTTAGTTATGTATCTAATACTATTACACATGCTTGTGTTTAATGACTTGCATATGCGACCATAAGAGGAGGATAACCATCACCAAAACCATTCAAACTAAACACTCTCAACCCCTCAACTTCATCGCTCTGCCGTATTTCATGACTTTCTCCATTCAACTTTGTTAGTATTTGGTAGTTGTTATTAAATATGTTGTTTAAGTGGAGTTTAATTAAGTTGAATTGGAATATAAAAAATAGTTTAAGTAATAATAAAGACGAGTTGTAAATTCAAACATTCTTGATTTTTTTCATGAATTTTTTAGTTTCGATGTAGATAGTTTATCTTTAATCTAGTTAGAGAAAAGATTAATCGAGATGCGTGTCAAACACCCTGATCGTTGAACCAAAAAATAAAAAATTAAGTTGGATTGAAAAAAAAAAGCTTATAATTATCTAAAAATATTGATGCAACTTTGTTTAGTTGAATTTATTTAAAAAACTTCTGATTGTTCGATTAGATTTAGCAGAGTTGTAAACCCATGGCCAAAAGGTCATCTAAATTGAGATATTTTTAGCTGTTATTTTTTGAAAAAAATCATATTTTAGGTTAAAGAGGATGAAAAATTTAAACTTGACGGTAATTTTATATTAAACTAAAACCATATTTCTAGTTTTGTAGTTGCTGTGACCATAACGAAGACAGTGAAGTGTTGCGGCCTTTCTTTTGGTTTTTGTGTAAAATTGTACCAAGGCCTTAAGCCGATGGTCAAAGTCCAAATTAGGAACGTTACAGCCATTGCTGTCTAAAGTGATGATACTGCAGACTAAAAGTTCATTAAAACGAAACCTAATCAAAAGAAAATGCAATAAGAAAATGCTCTCTTCTTTCTTTATGTCCCTCCACTTTCTTAATACCACATTGCGTAACCGTAAAGTCACTCCCAATTCTCAAACCCACCTCCATCCACCCATCCTCTACAGCTACCGACCTACCCTTATTTTCTCTCACCAACTCAAAATATGTACATACATACTAAGCCCCAATTTCCTCTACCAAATTTCCCTCCATTTGTTCATATTCTGCTCTCATTAGGCCGCTCAATCGTATCAGTGAAACAAATTTATATTGAGTTTTAACGGGTTCATATAAAAAAAAAATTTAAGGGTTCATGTCATGTATGAACTATATATAATTTGTATATAAATAAGTCGTGTCGTGTATTTTTTCTAATTGATTTCGTTTATATCCGATTTGTTTATTAAGCATGGCATGTCGGTTACGAATCAGGGTGGCTTATGGAATACTCAAATTCTTTAATTACGTATTGTATTAATGGATCATGATATATTTTAACATTCTTAACTCTCATTCCTTTGCTTAATATATCACATTGTATGATCATCTTTTAAAATCACCTAAGTCGTATTTTATTGTTACTTACAAATTGATGTGACATAGTCTACCATTATACTAAGTGTTTTGAGTGTGAAATTTTACATAGAAAACATATACCTTCTTTGTGAATACAACAACATTCAAATATGAAGGTAATGTTAGTTAAAATTGGGAAATTTTATTTGATTAATTTGGTAAAGTCACCGCCATTTTTATTCTATCCATTGATGATTGATTTTTTTTTGTGTTAGACAAACATAAAAGAAGCGATAGCATCCACACATCAGCAATAGCAAACCCCACAATTAACCCTTACAACGGATTGAGAATCTCTTCATTATTGGTTTATATAATTTTATTTAATAATAAATTATCTATCACGTAAATACATGAGATTCATTATTTATATATGAATTTTTCATTCATACACATTGAGTAAGTGTTTTCTAATTGAAGAAAATTGTGTAAAAAAAGTAATGGAAAAAATTTAGATTCAGCACAGCCGGCCTATCTGGATTATAGAAGTACGCATGCCCTTGGAACTCGCCGTGTAGAGAAGAGAAGAGAGGGGAGGAGAGAAGAGGGACGGAGACAGAGAGTGAAGCCACGGATTATGTCGGCCAAGTTTGGACTTATCTTTAAGGAAGATCAACGTGGCGGCCGTACCCAGTCGACACACTAGCAGCCAAGTCAGATAACCAATGCGTGCTGCCTCTGTGCGCTCCTCATCATGTGCTTCTATACACCCCCCCCCCCCCCCCCCCCCGCCTCTCTATATAATATATTAATATGTATATGCTTATACTATGCCACCGCCCTATAAATATGACAGATGGTTTTGGTGTAAGTTGTATTCTGCGACAGTTAATAGAATCTGCCGCTTAGTTTTGTTTCTTTGTTTTAGGGTTCTAACCACTTACTCCTTTTGATAAGAATAGAGGCTCTCTCTCTCTATCTCTTTCTCTCTCTCTCTCTCTCTCTCTCTCACATATGATGGAAGGAGGAGAGTGTTGTTCCAGAACTGCAGAGAAAAGGAAGCAGAGAGAACACCAACAGGATAAGCCTTACAGAGGGATAAGGATGAGGAAGTGGGGGAAGTGGGTGGCTGAGATAAGAGAACCAAACAAGAGGTCTCGGATTTGGCTTGGCTCTTACTCTTCGCCGGTTGCCGCTGCTCGTGCCTATGACACAGCCGTGTTCTATCTCAGAGGCCCTTCTGCGAGAATTAACTTCCCGGATTTAGTTCTCGAAGAAGACGAACTTCACGACCTCTCTGCCGCTTCCATACGCAAGAAAGCTACAGAGGTTGGAGCTAGGGTTGATGCTCTCCAACAAACTGAAGTTCAGCCGTCAACGGAATCGAATTCCGGCCGGACTTCAGAGACGCCGGACTTGAATGAATACCCAAGTCCAGAAACCTCCGTTGACAATTGAAATCTATCAATCATGTTCTTTCGTTATCTTCTTCGTGAGAGAGAGGTAAGTATCTGATGGACATGGACCACAAGTAGAAGAACCAGGACAAACAAAAACATAGAATATTTTCTGATCTCAGACGGTTTTCTGAGCTTGATTTGGCGGGGTGGTTGAATCAATTGTTGTTGAGGTGTCTCAGATATAATCCCAAGGGCAGGGTTATATGTCTTATTTTCTTTAGTGATGTTCAGTTGTAGAGTTGTAAGAGGCAAAGGATTAACAACTGCGAAAATTAGTTAAGTGATCATGGTGTTTTCTCTTGTTAATTTTCTTTCACTTAATTTATACCAATAGAAGTTTAATACGAAACTTTTATAATCCGAACAAACCCATTAGTACTTTTGGAATGGAAATTCTTCTTTAAACTATATTCGTGTAGTATTCTCTCTATATTCCAATCTTGTTTTCACTGTTTTGCACCCATGTTCGTTAGTTTGTGTTACTTTTAAGAGATAAAGGGCGACCATGGAATGAGACGATATAGAAGCAGCTGATATACATGGTCCTACCTACACCTTCAGTTGCAAAACAAACAGATAAGACGATAAGGTCAAGTTCGGTGTCCAAACCGGTACTTGTGACTTCTCGTTGGACACCAGACATCTCTCTCTCTCTCTCTCTCTCTCTCTCACACACACACACAGAGAGGGAGGAGTGGTTCTCGGTAAGGGAAGTTGTCGCCGTCATGGGATGGTCGAAGACTGCCTTGTAAAGGTGGTTCTCTAGTGGGTTGCTCATGATGGGGAGGTGGGCGGCGAAGGTTTTTTCAGGGTCAATAATTTCATGAATTCAAATGGGAAAATTAATTGTGTTCACATTTGTTTATACAGGATGTTGGCCTATTCTACCATTTGTATTTATGAGACCAATTACAAAACATAGTTTAAGTGATGTCTATTTTCCCATTTGGACGGCTCTTCCTCGATAGTTTTATTACCGCACCAAATCAGCAGCTGTCAAAACTCCGATTCGGATCTCCTCTAATATATATTTTTTTAAAAAAAATTCTTAACACATCATTCATCATAAATAAACAAAAATTTTATTATTAATGAGTGAGAGATCTACTTGTATATAATAGATTCCACTTGAATAGATGATAGATAATGTGCAAATTGAAAAGAAAGTGCATCAGAGGGATCACACTATGCCAAACTCTACTCTAATCAAATTTTGACTGTCTTTTCTTTTTTCTTTTTTTTTTTAATTTAATCATTCAGTTTGTGTTGAGATTTTAGGTGCCTTACAGTAATGTCTATGCATAAATAATAAATTCCATCAAAATACAGCAAAGATTGATCAGATATCTGAAGGATCCAGTATAGTTGGCACTTGACAGGAATAAGATGCCCACTTCTTGTTAAAACATAAACAATTACATGGGCGGCAGAATTAAATGGTTTATAAGTATAGTTTCAAAGAAATTCAAATTAAGAACTTGTCCATATTTTTTTTTAAAAAAAAAGAGTATTAAAAAGGGGATTTTTTTTTTTAATGAAAAGGGGGATGGGAGGAATAATTAAACTCAAAAAGTTTTTCAATCTTGTCAACAGGGAAAAAAGATGGTTCAAAATTACATAAAAATCGAGGTTAACAGAGCCGAGATGTTCATCTATAAGAACTAGAGTAAGTAATTAAATTTTAGCCTTATTTTTGTACAAATCCTTAGAAGTGAAGCTCAATTCCAATCAGAAATTAATTAATTGAGCGAATATTTAGCAGTATCTGGAAGTAAGTTATTATTATTATTATTATTATTATTATTGAAGGATCATTAAATCAGGTTAAAAGTTTAGGAAAAAGAGAACATTGCTTGCAATGTAACTTGATCCTCCAACATCACAGATGAGTGACAACAGGCAAAAACTATTCCCGGACACTCTGACTATTGAACCAAAAAAAAAAAAAAAAAAAAAAAAACCCTCATTATAGCCACTCCATATGATATTAAAAAATTGTGTAAACTATAATGGAGAATTCCTGCTTCAACAGAGAGCATAAAAATAATTAATTCAGTCCCACTAAGAAGGTTTTCAATCACTTTCAACCAGTTTGTCACTCTTCCCCATTGACAACTAGTACTGCTAGCACCTACCAAGCACCCACTGGAACTTTTCATTTTGTTATTAACTGTAATGACAGGAGGCCTCTGCAACTTCTTTGCCAACCCCACATCCACTAAGGTTCCAAATAAATGAGTGTACGCAAACACGAGCACGCACATACAGATTTTTTTTTTTTGTCACAATAGATACATGGGAAAAACGGCTGGTGATACTCAACCTTGTAATCTCGAGGGATGTTGGAAAAGGCACCTAGACACAGAGACGGACAGAGTAACGTTCAGGCCAATTTTCTCTCTCCTGAGAGTTGGTTATGTCGCACTCTCTAATCTCATTTCTCTTGAAATTCCATGTCAATGAGCAAAATAACATATATATCACAATGCTGCAATAATAGTTAGCAATGGCACAACCCCACCAAAACAGACTAAACTTAATCAACACAAATCTTGAACAAAAGATAGTCCACACCTACAGTAACAGAACTTTTATCCAAGCTTGTGATAGTATGCAAACAAATTGAATAGCATAAGTTGTTGCAATGGGCTTAACATCCTCGCTAGAAATTTTGAGGAGAATTGGAATGGAACAAACTCTTGGCCTGAATGCAATACACATAGATTACCCCTATATATAGTAGAGCTTCATTGTTGAAATCTACAAAGAAATCCACAACAACGATGCTCTTCTCAACATTCCCCCTCAATGCATTTTCCTTGGTACTCCGATTACATATGAATGTACAAAAATCGTTATTTGACCAATGCTTTGGTAAGCATTCTATTGTTCTTCAACCTTGCAACATACGAATCTTTATTATAAGGGGAAGTGTTGGATGGTAATGCATTTTTTCACATTGAGAATACTTGCCCAGCAATAATATGTTGCAAAAGTCCAACTCAAAGTGTCTAGAAAGTTTTCATATGTTCAAACATAATGAATTAGGATGATAACCAACGCTTTACACTATTTACATTTAAATATCGTAAAATGTTGGCAATGGTCCCAGCTTATTAGGTTTGAATGTGTACATAGAAATCAACCGAGATGTTTACATATACATATGTGTGTGTTGATCTGCTATGTAATGCATCAAGCCTTGAGCTATGAACAAAAGGAGAGTTTATTACTTTCTATTTGTGAGTGTTGAGCTCCACTATAATAACTCATCACATCCAATTCGGTTGTTTTACCTATCCTTCATCTGCAGGAATAAATGCATGGTATGCATAAAAAGACTTCTAAGACTCATGACTTGAGATACTAATTATTACTAATACTTTTCACATCAGTCTTCCAGCTAAATCAGTCCACAGGCTAGAGTTATTCCAATCTTTTGCTGAAATATTCTAGGCAGCAATTGGGTTGAAAATTTTAAGTCAGTAACATGTCATATGCCAGTGAAGGACCAGGCTAAATATGCAATTTAATTAAACATACACCGCATAATTCCTCCTTTAAATACATATATTTATGTCGAATTTTCATGTGTAAATGCCTATTCCAGCCAAAGGAGTGTTGATCTCTACCATTCCCAATCACAGGTAACGTTCAAATAATACTTGGATGTGAAAAGTTTTTGTTTCCTAACTCCCAAATTAGTCATTTCCAACTGCTCACTGATCGAAATAGACAAGACAAACAGCTCAAAATCAAGTAAAACAAGTTTTCCCACAGACAATTTGTATGCAAAACCCCAATCACATATATAAATATGCATTTGTATCGGCACCGATATGTCCTTAAACAGGCAAAATTTTTATTTTTGAGCATGACAACTCAAGGGAAGAAGCACAAACTTCGTCGAGAGAGAGAGGACAGATGGAGAGAGAGAACAAGTACCAGAGGACTTCAAATGGATTCGACTCGACAAGCACTGTCATCTACATCAACAGAAAAAATTCTTTGGGTTTCAATTGGTTTAAACAGGGCGAATACCAGGGTCAACTCACTTAAGGGGCCCGGTCCCCAAATACCAATAGGGTGGGCCGAGTGGCCCATAAGATTCAAAATCATGAAGGCTTAAATGTTTTGGTATATCTTGGATTAGGATAGAGCAGGCCACATTGGACCATTCTCTGGGGCCTCTGGGCCAACCTGGCTATTGTTAAGGTTCTTATCTGGATTGAGCTAGGGTCAGGTACATTGGACCATTCACAGGCCCACCCTGGCCCTGAACACTAGTTAGATATGGAGATAATTTCAGTCATACCCCTTTTAGTTTATAATATCTTCAAGGACATCCTCTCTATTATCAAAAAATCACTGACACCCCTTTTACTTTATATTTAAACATCACTAACATTCCCCTGCTATTAAACCACAATTTATAATAAAAATAAATTATCTCAAATACCAAAATTACCTTTACATAAATCTCAAACAACCTTTTTTACATAAAATTCGAGCTGATTAAAATTTATTTTTTTATATATTAAAATTTGATTCGATTAAAATTTAATTCGAGCTGATTAAATTTATTTTTTTTACGTATTAAAATTTGACACTATTGAAAGTCTTTTTTTATGTATTAAAATTTGAACCAATTTGAGCTGTTTTCTCTGATTAAATTTTTTTTTAAATCGATTAAAATTTATATTTTTTATTTTTTAAATTTTAATTAAATTTTTTTTTATGTATTAAAATTTGAGTCAATTAAAATTTATAATTTTTATATATCAAAAATTAGATCGATTAAAATATAATGCGAGTTGATTAATATTTGATTTTAGCCCCGAATAGAATTTTGATCTGCTCACATTTTAATACATAAATAAAAATAATTTTTAATCAACTAAAATTTTAATACATACAAAATAAATTTTAATTAGCTCAAATCAATTTATAATCAACCTGAATTTTAATACGTAAAAAAATTTTAAAAATAGAGAGGGTCTCATTGAATATATGTCTATCTAAAAAGGGTTGGATGAATTTTTTTTCCTAAAACATATTATGGGCATTTTAGTAAAATTGAATTTTAATTAATACATTTAATATGACAAGGTTTAAAAAATAGAGAGAGTGTTCTTGAAGATATAATAAACTAGAAAGAGTGTTGCTAAAATTTTCTCTTATATATAATACAATTCTCTTCTTTGCTCGGTGTTTTTTTTTTAAGTATTATGTCCAAATGTGTTCATACCAGCTTACACACATTTTGCCTAATCCACTCTCAAGTATGGTAAAAGACAAACTATTTATATCAAGATTAGGGATAAATCTCTCGTAATTTAAAATTAAGAAAGTTGTGAAGTTTCGAGTTCAAGTTGTGATATATAATACAACTATAATATCACGTCACCATCAACAAGTTTATCATCCCTTGGTCTAATTAACCCCACTAAATCTAGCAATAATAGTTATTCGATTATACATTATCCTGAGCATTATATTGTTAAAATGCATATAGACCACCTTTGTAAAATTAAGGACGTAACATGGGCGCGTTGAGAGGTTAATTCTAGTCTAACCTTATGTATAAAATCTTCAATTTTAAATTGACATCAACCCAAGTACAACCTAAGTTAAATTTGAACGGATTCGAGTTGAATTTGTGTTCAATTCAAGGTTGATTTTCAGATTCACAATTCAAGCTAAATTCCCCACACCCCCCCTCCCCCCAACACACACACACACACAAACTCACAGCCACCCAAATCACACAACCAACCATTACACCCATAATTCACAAGCAACAATACCCCAGCAACAACAAACCTCTAATTTCTCAACGCAAATCAATAGGCTTTGTTTTCAATTTTTCAACCGTGGCACAACAGTCGCAAGGCAGAGAACAGGTGGATTGGACAATAGACGACGATCTAAGTGAGAGGTGGCAAAGGGCGGCAAATGAAGTGAGAGACTATGAGAGTAAAAGGCTGAGCAAGGTTGAGTCAGAGAACGGGGGAGTGACGGAGGCGCAAGAGTTTGAAGTGAACGATAAACCCTAATTGTGTAACTTGTGTTATGCTCTATATATATACTAGTCATAACTCGTGCCTTCAGGCACGATAAAATATAAAATTCGAGTTTTTTAAAATCGATTCCATTATATTAAATTTTTTCAAAATATATTAACTACAAATTAATTAAATATTAAATAATTAAATATATGATAAAAATGAGTGATGTGATATTTTTTAGGGAGGACATATATAATAATTAAATATGTGATAGAAATGAATGATGTGATTTGACATTTGAGTCTGACAAAGAGATGATGAGTGAGGTAAGTGATTGGTGATGATTTTGAGGAAAAAAATATGACTGAGATAAAATTCAAACACATTCATATTTTATTATATTGATATATATTTGGGTTGAATAGAGTAACCCGAGATCTCAACTAACATACTATCTGAATTTAATTCAAGTTGATTTTTTTGACCTAGGTCCCAAATCAAATTAAAAATTTGAACCCAAACTCTTTTTTTTTTTGAGTTGTGGTCGAGTTTGCCTGCCCAAATTGTACCCCTGTGTAAAATGCTTTTCAAATATTTACCAAACAATACACTTTATTTTCATAAAGCACAATTGTCTTCCCTGTGTGTCGCCTTTTTTTACAGACAAATTTGGGTAGTGTTTTTCCTTATATAATGAAAATAGTAATTGAATTTGAATTTGTTGTGCAGATCTAATCTATTATTGTGGTTGAATTAGTTGTGAATTATAAAATTTTTATATGGGTAAATTCTGTTGTCACAGCCTGGTCGTAGACAAAGCAATATAGAAAGCAGCAGCCATTAGCTCAACTTTAATATGATGAATCTTAATTAGCATATTCTTATGATTTTCTTAAAGACATTTCTAAAAGTTTTTTGCTTTTTTTTTCGTCACACACTATTACAAGTGAGGGGATTATGAGATTCGAATCAGCGACTTTAAGATCCAACAGTGGAACGGCGGTCATTAAACTAATCGCTAACCTCTAAAAATTCTTTGTTGCTAATAAAAAAATGCAATATAATAGATTCACCACTCTGTTTTCAGATTTTCAGAACAGATTTTCAGCTTGACTGTTTATTTTGGCGGGAAAGTTGTAATGCTAGCAAACTTATATATCCCTTTTTCACGTCTGGTGCAACCAAGAAATGGACTTTATCAGCTAGTAGCACTCAAAAGTTCAATTTTCTAAAAGTTCCTTGTTGTCAAACACAGGCTTTCATTAGTGGTATCATAAAAGTAGTGGAATTATAAAATGAGAACGGGAGCAATGGTATGTTCACAAAAAAATATGATGTTAGTTGTTGGATCAGTGGGTCGAATGGCTGCAGTTAATTTGATGTATAAAAAATTATCCATGAGAACGACTGTTGACGCAAAAATAAAGTTATTTCATGGTGATTTGGCTGCATAGATTCGATTGACAAAACAATGTATGGGAGAAAACTAGATACATTTAACCATTTTCAATTTTTAAGGGTGGTTTAATAGTTGAAATTAATTTTTACTAACTCAAAGGTATCAGGTTCAGAATCCCTTCTTACACCCCCTAAAGGATGCTCTAATCCAGCTTAAATTGTGATAACCAGCCGCCGAGCTTAAAAGAGTAATCAATATAAATCTAAAAACCCTATAGCAAAAAATAAAAAATAAAAATTCAAATTCTATAACAACGAGAGTCCTGTATATTCAAATGTTCGGCTCTTCTATTTATTTGGCGGGAAAGTGAGAATGCTTGTAAACTCATAGCCCTTTTTTCATGTTGGACGCAAGAAAGAAATGGATGTGATAAACAAATGGCACTTAGTCCTTGTTTAAGACTGTACTTCCCACTCTCCTATGAAAAAAAGTTAGGTACGTTGGAATCCATTTTCATTGTGGGAAAGAAAAAGGTGGAAAAAGACACTTAGACTTTCAGAAGAGTCAAGATTTAAAACTCTTTTGAGTTTGTGCAAAACACCACAAAGACGTTAAAAAAAACTACGAAGAATATAAAGGCAACAAAAGGAAAGAAAAGTTTGCATTGGGAGGATCTTTCAGTGCCATCAATTCACCAAATTGTTTCTGGACTGTCATCCATTTTCCACCTCCCTCTAACAAATTCTTTTCCCTCTACATTTGCACCCACTTTCCCTTACAAGACATGACAATTTTCTAACCATGTGATCATGTTACTCATCCTGCATCTACCCCTCTTTTTCTTTCTTGGGAGAAAAGAGGTTTAAATCACCTTTTCTATCCCTCTAATGTGAGTTAGTAACGCATTACCTCCCTCATTTTTGAAACTTATATTCTTCACCCATGATTTTTAGGACTAAAGCATAATAGCTGGCAGGGTTAACAATTTTAGCATAAAAGGACAATAACTACCTTCGTGTTTTTTATTTTTTATTTTTAGCATTTTTTTGTTGAAAAAGTTTGTACAAAGAGAGGAGACAGAAAGAGATTGATCTATTTTAGATAGAAAAATGAAAACGACAACATTTATAAATGTATAAAATTTGTCTTAATGTATTAGTTTATTAAAAATATTAACATTGGACCTTTAATCATTAGTTTTTAGTAAATTATAACAGTGTTAGTTTGATTCCGCCTCCCCATTTATTATTTATGAAAGAGTTCCTTGTGGCATGAAAGGAAAAAGGGAGATCAAACTAGAAAAAAAATAAAGTCTACAAGAAGATTGGAAGATACCCCTTTCACTTCCAAACATGGCAGTCATTGAACATATTTTTTTACTAATGAAATTATAGGCACAGAGACGAATGCCTTCACTCCCGATCATTATTATGGAGTCAATAGACATTGCACCTCCCTTAAAAGGGAATACTATTCTTGTAAAGAACGAAATCAATCGTGTATTCACCCCTCAAAAAAATTGTGCGTCTTTACTAACTCGGGTAGTCCGATGAACACTCACGACCAAGCGAGACTCAGATGATGTCTCATTTGTTGTCTTGCAATACATGTTTCTTTTTTCGATAAGACTTGCAACATACAAAAATCTCAGCCCCACTCGCCATGGTCCACTCATTTACTCGCTACTTCAAGCCCAAAATCACAAAAGGGTAGCACATATGTTTCTAAATTATAGGGTTGTTAATGTGTTATTGGGTCAAATTCAGACGGAGCAATATATAATTTGTTGAAAAAAGAAAAAGGAGGGGGGAAAAGAAAGGGGGAAATTACACTGTAGGGCATAAAGTCATGGGCTAAATATAATGTAAAGATGCTCATCTAAATCTAGTTGGGAATAAATTTCAATCAAAACAATGATGCCTACCCACACTCCACTTTATTTGGCATATATTAAGGGTGGGGGCCGGTAGCAATAACATCACCGATCCCTTTCCATCAATTTCCAAGTTAAAAAGGCTTCCAAACAAAACGAAAACTAGAGCATAGAAATGTTAAAGTCACTAACAAAAGTGAGTGAAGATGACATTTTCGTCTTCTGTCCAAAATTAATATAGAAAAAAAGTTTTTTTTCCTGTAATGATATTTGATTCCACATGTCTGGACTTTTCTCCTACCGACATGTTTGGCCAAGGACAGACCCTAATGAACTTCCACGGAGAGAAAAAAATCATTCCCAAGTGTTGCATTATAGGACTTCTAATGTGCTTTGAAAAATTTTAAGGTTAGTTCAATTGATACCAAGGAACAACTGTAAATTCAGATACTTTGAGTTTGACACTTGATAAATCTTTAGAACTAGGACATGAGGAATTTATTCCTCATTAATATCCTAGTTCCCGTTGAACCAAAAAAAATTAAAATTCCGTTGGCAAAAAAGCCTTTATGACATCATTCAATTAGACTCTAGGCAATTTAGTGTAGTTATTTTAAAACGGACAGCGTATTAGACTCCCGTTAGTACAAAATATCGATAGAATTATAAGTAAGTAATGTACGAGGAAACGATTTTAGTGACTTGAACAATCTACGCACATCGTTTCTAGATTTTATTAAGAGAAGAGGCATACATTTATGAATACAGATCAGCACTTTTTGCATTCATGGCTTTCTTTTAAAATGCAGTAATTACTTTTATTGCACCACTCGTGCATTAATCTTTTTTTTTTTTTTGGGGGGGGATCTATTTGTTGTCAAGACCATCTTTGTTTTTACCTATTCCTCCAATTATGCCTATCATTCTCATTAGTAATTATGCTAACTATGGACCCTTCACATCTGCTTTTAGTCACATGAACACCAACAATCTGCTTCGGTGATTCTGTTTTTGTTAAGGTCTTCGTTGTTTTTGTTGCCTTGTTTTTTTCCTTCCTGTTCTGACTTTATAGGGAAAAAGAGCTTACATTCGGCGTAAATGTTTTAACACTACTTGTTATTTATATGACTCCAATGTAGTAGATTTTGAATTTATAAATGATATGATCTATTAATAATACCAAAAATGATTATCGTTAAACATAAATAATTTAATTTCGACATTGCAAATCTGTTTAATTGATATTTGTATAAAAAAAATAATAAATAATCTCAGAGTTTGAAAGAATAATCTGGATAAATTAAAATACTTTATGAAACAAAAAATTAAAAAAAAAGGGTAAATATATGTTGTGATATTTGTGGTGGCTCATGAATGAATTAGGGTCCATAGACACGTGCAAATGATGGCATTGTCTTTGCGTAATGATGGCTTTCCACCGTTTCTTCCACTGTGTGGGTTCCACTCCCCTATCATATGCCACCCAACTTCAATACTTTTTCTTTGACCGACACACCACGACGACGCTTAAATCCACATTCTCACCGTTAACGTACTGATGTTACACTAACCAGCTTTTCAGTGAAATAGTATTCTTTGTCTTACGAAGATTTTATTGTTTTAAAATATAGAGTTTAAATTTTTTAAATAAAAAAATATAATTTATTTGTAAAACGGGTCTTAATTATTTGGATAAATTATATCCAAATCTCTAATGTGGGTTCGAATTCTCACTAAAATGTAAGTTCTGATTTAATTGGTGTATAAGTTAAAGAG